CAGCAGGAGGCAGCAGGAGGCAGCAGGAGGCAGCAGGAGGCAGCAGAAGGCATGCCCGACACGCTGCCGGAATGCATAATTGAATTACGAATGGGGCGAGCGAGCAATGATGCGAATGCCGCGCCCTTCAACACCAACCAGCACCGGCTTATCCGGGCAGCAGCTATTCCCATTTGAAATATGACAAGCAGCACGGTACGGCACGGCACGGTACGGCCAGGGCATGTGGATTCCGTCCCTTTGGCAACGATTGCAGTTCAAGCAAAATGGAAAGTCAAACTTGCAGTGCATTTCACTTTTACAGCACTCATAAAGGCCGAGAGCCTTTTAGCCTGCCAAATGCAATTTATTTAATTCGCTTTAAACGCATTTGGCCCGCAAGCGTTTTGCTCTCAGCTCTCATAGAAAGTAAAAGAGAAGCAGAAAAAAAAAAAAACAGAGAAAAGAGAAAAAAGAGAACTAATTTTTGTTGCCCTTTTCAGATTCATTTGATCAGCCAAATTGATGCCCTATATCTAATATACGATAGCAGATATTAGGCAACTGTGAACTGTGAACTGTGACTGACTCCCCCGTCATAAATCACTTCATTAGCCGCGCGCTGTCTCCGCTGTGCGTCCAATCACGTCTTATCGCAGCATCGGACTTGATTTTCGGCCCAACTATTTGTAGTGCTTGCATTTATGTAGTTGTCAGAGCATTTGACCTTTATACCACTACAGCTAGGCATACTTTGGCTGCCAGCCGTGCCCACAAGCCCCACTAAAGAGGGGCAGACGGACAGACAAGCATACATATGCTCAACGTCGTCTTTTACTTGGCGTTCTACTTATTTCCCTCTTTCACTCTCTCTCTCTCTCTCTCTCTCTCTCTCCATCTCTCTCACGCACTCTCTTTGCCTGTCTCTTTTGCTTTCTCTCTCTACATATTGCTCATACGCCGCGTTGCATGTGGCACGTTGTCGATCTAAGCGCTGATAAGACGCAGCAACAGCTGCCAGCTGCCAGCTGCTGGCTTCGTGTATGTGGCATGTTATATGGCATACGGCTGTGTATGTGCATGCGTGTGTGTGTGTGTGTGTGAAAGTGTTTGTTCACTGATGTATATGTTTATATAATTCCCACTTACCGCTGGCTCACATAAGTACAAGTTTATTGGTGTTTTTGCTGCCGCTGCCGCTGCCGCTGCTGTTGCCGCTGCCTCAATGTTTGGCTTTTATTTGCCGTGTGTGCTTTAGTCTTACACGCTAGCATATAAACTGAATACATACACATACACATACACCTATATATGTATATGTATAAAATTGGAAGGGCCGCTATGCCCAAAGGGAGTGTAAAGCAAACCGAAAAGCAGGCAAAATGAAAATTATGCTCTTTTTGGCATTAAGTTTATGAATAACGAGCTGCTTCAACACGAATGTGTGCAAGCTCTCCAGCAAGCTTAAAGGAATTTATTCTCAGCCATAACTACAGCTACACCAACACACACACACATATGTATGCTTGTGTGTGCGCGGCTATCAACGCCTTTGCCGCTGCCTGCCGATCAAAAGGTGTTAAGTTTTGTTGTTATAGTTAAGCGCCCGAAAAACCACAAAGACATGCACAGCAAGCAACAGCACGTTGACAGCGAACGAGCCGAGTTGCCTGCCCACCTGTATTTTTCCAGCCAGGTGCCACAATATACACAGATACAAACAACTTCAAAGATTGTCAACACACACAGAGAGAGACAGAGAGACTCTACGACATTTTGTAAAGATATAAATGTGACAGAGATATCGATAGAAGATATGACATGCAACAGATATATGCATATACATATATCTTATATACATATTTATATATAGCATTGAGATGCCTCTGGTCCAGTTCCAAGCAGCAGCAGCAGCAGCAGTTGGCTTTTTGCATTCGTGGCCAAGACAAACTTCTTGGTCTGGATTATGAGGCGAATGTTTGTGCAGACGTCTCTGTCGGCATTTGATTGTTTGCTGATACGACATAAATAATGACAAGACTGACAAGAAGAAGAAGACGAAGAAGTAGAGCTGACTGAGATAACAAACTGTAGCAAATACTTTGACAGTTTTCATCTAAATCCAAAATAAATCAAGAAATTTATATGAAATGCATCATAATAATCAAATTCGTTTATTTATTTTATTTTATTTTATTTTATTTTTTAATTGACAGCAATTAAAATATATAGATATTTAAAATAATATTGATATGCATACATGCTAAAAATACTCTAATGTAGAAGAAATATATATATATCAAGGCTTTTCTTCTCTATATATACCCAAACACACATCCGTATAAAATATTAATACACATATCAAATAAAAATCGATGTGCAACAACTAATCACACCCAAAAGACCGCAATATTTACTCTCTGCCCATATTCATGCGATATGTGTTAAGTCGAACCCATTGTACTTGTCGCTCCAATTGGAATCCATTGAGTTTTCCAATTGAAAAGACCCTAGGCCGTTCTGGCTCTATATTTTAACGAGTGCTAAATGACTCAAGTGCTGCTGCTGTCCAGTGGTCGCTGATGTTGACTATTTGCAGCCACCGATGGGAGTTCGAATACCAGCAGCCTCCCCCCCTTCCATCGCTCCCTCGCTCCTCCCCTTGCCTAACCATTCACCTTGGTAGCATGTGCCACTCGGCGCTCATTCAAGTTCCATTTAGCCTTTATGTTTCGGTGTCGGAGCCGGTGTCGATGGCGGCAATGCCATTGCCATTGCCCCACCTTTGGGATGTTCGAGCACGCACAAACAGTCACACACACACACACACACACAAACACACAGGAGCTCAAGGCCTAGGGGATATAAATGGTGAGCGGGACAAGGGTTTGTTTTTTGTGATTTCCAGCATGCCAGCAGGCATTCACATGAAACTATGCAGTAAAAGTAGCGCCAATGTGTGTGAGTGCTGTCTGTGTGTGTGTGTGCTCGTATATATGTATGTATGTGTGTGGTACATATATCTCTGTGCGAGTGCATCGTAAACATGTCGCCGTGTTATATTAGGATTTCGAGCAGCGAATATGAAAATCGCTGCCAATGCTAATGTCGCAGCTGCTTTCGTTGTTGTTCGACAGTGGACAAAAATACAGGTAACAGGTGAGGGGCGGCAGGCAGCAGGCAGCAGTCAGCAGTCAGAGGTTCAGCTGGCTCACTCGATTCGGCTGATGGGCTCAAGTGTGCTCCGGCTTATTGAGCTGCCGGCTTTGTTAGCCTGCCAATAGGCAGAGGACAAGCTGCTTCGCAAACAAACTTGGCATAAATAACCCTCAGAGCAACTGCAATAAAATACGCTGTCTCTCTCTCTCTCTCTCTCTCTCTCTCTCTCTCTTTCTGTGAACTATTTCAATTGTTTATTCAAACTAGTTCCATGACACCAAAAACTTACAAAGCAGTTCTCCGTTACGGGCTGGCATTTTGCACAATAATTTCGAAGCTTACGTGATTGAATGTTTTGATTAATAAAGTGATACGAGTTCGCAGAAAAAGAAATTCAAATGAGCTAGTTCACTGCTGTGTATAGAAATATATATGCACTTCTGCTTGTGCATGATTGTGAGCTCATCAAGGATTACTTATTAGAACTAGTTCCGCTTGTTAGTTCCAAGCTCATTTATGAAGTTTCATAAATCAGTTTCAGATAACTTGGAAAGTTTTGAAAACTAGTTCCAACAGCTCAAATGCAATCAAAGTTCATTTGGTACTAGTTCCGGTTCGACTTAGTTCCTATGAAGTCCTTTGAACTAGTTTCAACAGCCAAAACGAATCTGAGCTTTGTGAGTTCTGGAGAACTAGTTCCAAATATAATGCAAGTTGACTTTTGTGTTTTTTTTTTTAACTAGTTCCATCTGATTAAATGCTGGCAGGGCTTATTAAGAAGGCTTTTGAACTAGTTGCCATATCAAATGTAAACCTATTAGAGGACTCTTAAGTTTCTAGCTACTAGTTCTAGTTACTAGTTCTAGTTCCTGACTTCACCTGATTTCTTTTACCTCTTCAGAACTAGTTCCGACAGACAAAATACAATCGCAGCGCCTTTTTATTATCAACAACAAGCAACGGTAAAACACATGACCAGCTCATTTTAGACTTTGGTCGTCTGAAACTAGTTCCATCAGTTCCAAAACGTGCCAAGCCTTACTCTCACCCTACCCAAGCAATTCCAAACGCAATATTCAAAAAATCACTTATGCTACATTTCGAAATCTGATCTGATTTGATCTGTCTGTCCGTCCGTCCGTGTATACAAATGTCTGTGTGTGTGAGTGTGTGCGAGTGTGTGTAAGTGTGTGTCTGACTGACTGACTGGCAAGACATAAAACACCGTAATTTATGGCACATTTCCAGCTTCACGCCGAGCCGCCTCCGTCGTCGTCGTCTGTTGCGCTCATAAAACGGGCCTCAGCCCGTTTTGGCCAGAGCGAGGCAACGGGTCAAAAATGGGGCCAGCGGGCCAAATGGCAATAAAGTGCCAACCGAAATCAATAATGCGCGCGCCTCACAAAATGTGGCAATAAACTTGCAGAATTCGTGCTGAAAAAAAAAAGAAAAACACACAGAAAAACAACGAAAAGGAGATAAAGAAAAAGAAAATCGCAAAGCTGCAGAGTGCGCCAAATGAGAGATGGAAAACTTAAGAAGAAGAAGCGACCGGAACTGAACTGAACTCAAATCAACTTCAAATTGATTTTGGCTTATTAACAGCGCAGCTCTCCCATGCAATCCCCCTCCCCGCCCCCCTCTCCCGCTACCCTGGCGCCATAAACTGCACTAAACGGAAAACTTTTGCCTCATTATGTGAGCCCAGCTGACAAGTGGACCCATCCTCTCCTCCCCTCACGGCACGCCCCTGCCACGAAACAAATGAAATTTGCTGATTACATTTGTTGTTGTCGTTTTTTTTATGTTTTATAATCAAATGTAATTTGCATAAATTTACAAATATTCAAATGCAAAAGTTTTCAGCCACCTCCGATGATGACCAGCTCGACGAAGCAGCTACTGCCATGCGGACAGCACATCTGATCCATCTGGCTCTCGCTCAGCATCAGCCATTGCTGACTGAGCTGACGTCGGCTGCCCAGGCCGCGCAGCTGGCAGAGGACGCGCAGGCCGCACTGGAGCTTGCGATTGATGAAGCCGAGGCTGGCATGAACGGGCTGCCTTGTGGCCGGCGCCAGCAGCCAGAAGAGATAGACCATGTTGTCCCGGCTGGGATGGCCGTTGTCCAGCTCCGGGCACTCGGCCACCAGGGCCGACCACGTGGTCCTTCGGGCCATCACCAGCACCGGCAGGCAGGCGGCGAGTGCGGCTTGGCCGAACTGCAGATGGCGCTGCGGCTCGAACAGACACCGCCGAGCGCTGCCCGTCCAGTTGAGCACGCCCAGGCACTGATCCTGCCCGACCGGCAGCTGCCAATGCACCAGCAGCAGCAGCGTTCGCTCCCCCGTGTCCACCCGGCGCATGCGCAGCGCGAACTCCATTGGCTTGCGCGGCGTCTCCGTCATGTGCTCGTTGAACAGGTGCGCCAGCAGCTCACTCTCTGCCAGCAGAGCCCCACAGCCGGCCAGTGGACAAGGATGTCGCTCCTGCTCGAGCTGCTGTCGACCTCCACTTTCCCTACTCCTTCCCATGTCCTCCAACATTTTTGGCATGAATTGTTATCATTATTGTTTTTTTGTGTTTTTCTTTAGAGATTTTTATAAAATGTGTATATTGTGTTTTTTTTTTTAAGGAAATAAAAATTGTAGTTCATTCTTGGTGAATTTCATTTTGAATCTAGTTCCTTTGATGAACAAAATTATAGGCACAGCAGGCTTATCTCTCAGCTCTCTTCATATAATATTTATCCATATATCTTTTATATTTATTCTATATATTTATTATCTGTATATTTATTTTATGTATTTATTCATCTATTTATTATCTTATAAATGTGATTCTAAATGGAGCATACTTTAATCTAAAACTGAGTAAAGTCTGGCACTGAGTTTACGCTGCTGACCAGTGTCCCAAATGCACGCGAACTTTCTAATTGCAATGCAACACTGGGCACACACACACGCACACACATACACACACACATCATTATGGTCAGTACTTGAGCGTAAAGGACCTTGAAAAGCAAACAGAGAGGGAGCTGCAGGGAGAGGTAGAGCAAGAGGGAAAGTGAGGGGAGGTCAGGCAAACAGACGTTCATTAAATGTACAAATTATGCGCGCTGCCAAAAAGATTTTTTAATAAATGCCAAAGGTTTCTGGCTAGCAGCGAAAGTCGACAGAGACGCAAATCAAATCTGAGTTCATGCATTTCTCATGTGCAACAGCAATAGATGCGAATGCAACTGCAACTGCAACTGCTGCCGCTGCTGCTGCTGCTGCGAATGTGTTGCTTAAAGAGCAGTAGCAGCAGCAGCAGCAGCTCTGATTAAATTTAATGCAAATTTCGAGCCCTTGCGCTGCTGCAAAAGGGTTTGTGTGGATGGTTGTGCGTTACAGTCTGTTTGCGCAAATTTTTTTGTGTCTGTTTTTTTTGGCTGCTTTCTGCTGACTTTTTAGACTAAAAGTCAAATATTTCATTTCGAAATTCCAGGCACTAAGACGAGAATGAAATGTGAAAATGTACAAATACATATAGGCCAGCGCGTGTGTGTGTGTGTGTGTGTCTGTGAGTATCTGAGTGTGTGTGTGTGTGTGCCACGCCTACAGCAAACAGGCCAACGATAGCGGCAAAACACATTTTTCTAGCTGCGCCGAGCCCAACTCGAGCCGGCGGCTGCTTAAAAACTATAAATTAAGTTTACAACTTTTCCGCAAAAAAAGGGGAAGAAGCAGAAGAAGAGAAAACTTTCTTTTTTTTTGCAGCTTTCATTGTTCCATTTGCTAATGCTGCTGCTGCTAATGCTTCTGCTGCTGTTGTTGCTGCTGCTGTTGTTGTTGTTGTTGTTATTCCCGTTGTTGTTTCGATGTTTTATCAGAGTGTGACAAAATAGCAAGCACACAATAAAAAATGTATGTCAAGCAGCGGCTGCCCGACGAGCGAACAACTTTGACATCCATCATTGCCGACACTTGTTGACCCGAAACTGGAGAGACTGACTAGCCGGGCCAGCAGGATGGCTGGCCAGCCAGGTGGACGGACATGAGGCTGCCCTGCAGCCCAGCCAGCCAGGCAGCCAGCCCGTGAGCCACACTGACAGCTAATCAAAATGTCGCACAAAGTTCATTAACAACATTTTCCAGTCAATTGTCTTGTCAGGTTTGGCCAGCAGCATATTTCAGTGTAGTCGGTCCTCTCTGTTTGCGTTTTGCATAGACAGCAGGAGGCGGCATAGACAGGCGGAAGGGGCGTGGCTGGCTGGCAGTTAGGTCGTTTAGGTCGTGGCAGCACTTTGTTAACAACTTGGCATCCAAGTTGTTTGTCTTTCACCTTCGGCGTGTCGATGACACAACTCCCACTTACACACACCAGCTAGAGCTGTGGGCGTGGCCCATTTTATTGCCAGGCAAATCAAGAAAACTTAACGAACTGTTCCCGCAGTTCGCAGTCGACAACAGTTCACAGTTGGCAACTCTCAGCTCTCTCTCTCTCGCTCTCTCTCTCTCCCGCTCTAGACGAGCTCTGTCTGCCCACCTTGGTTAGCCAATGAACTTGAAATTGGCAACAGGAGGCAACGCAAACAGACTGTAAATTGTTTATGCTCACATAAATTGCTATGCAGCCCATGCCAAACGGCGTTCAATCAACAGCTTCTCCCAGACTCCAAGCCTCTATTTCAGCTCTTATCCATCTCAATTTAGATGCTGCAATGCAAATTCTCATTGAGCTCGGATTCATTACAAATATTTGTTGGCATCGAAAATGTTTAATATTTAACAATTTGCCATTAGCCAAGTTTTGTAATTCATATTGTATTCACACCTCGAGTTGCTTTAAGGTTGCACGAATATCTAGGTCTATGTCTAGCATGTCTCGCATGAGTTAATCCAATATGCGAATAGTCTTATATGAGGACGATATATGGATGAGATACGTGCTGCTGTCCAACTGAAGAAAGGCTTCAATATTTTTTAACTATCGATTCTTATCGATAATATGGAGTATGGAATATTTATCAAACCACCCAGTGGTCAGTGCCTTACTTTAAATTAGTTTAAATTTTATATCCAACATATTAAATTATATTGATAAAATTTGTCCAGTATATACAAAATATAATCCACAAACAATCTTGTATTGTTTTCTGTTTTTACTAAGCTCTACAAATAGTTGACTTAAAATTATTGCTTGGAGAATGAGAAAGTTTTTCGCACCTTTGTGAGAGGAGGCGGGAGACAGTTAGCAGGAGACAGTAGTCCGTTTATTTAATTAAACAAGTGCTTGGTACTAATTAAAGTAGACAAAAGTTTATTTCTGGATTTGAGCAAAAGTTTATGGATGCCTTTGCCAGTTTGAACTGAAATTGCTTTGCTGCTGCTTTAAGACCGTTTAATCCTTAGATTCTGCATGCTTGTGTCTGGCCTGAGCTCGCTTGGCTCTGTTTTATTTCGAGAGTCGAGAGCTTTAAGATTTCTTAATATTTATGTGCACGTCGTTAACTGCATGGATTGCTTGCATATCAAATGGGCATACGACCCTGTTCCTGTTCTTGTTCCTGTGTGCGTGCATGTCCGTGTGTGCTTTATGTAAAATACTCTGCATATGTATTTGTATGTTATGTATGTGTGTGGGTGTGTGTGTGTGTGGAAAGAGTGAGGCCTGCATGGCACGCACTGCCTGGCAGTGGGAGGGGCCGGTAGAGCCGGTCGGGCTGCTCGGGCTGGTCGGCCCTCTGTCGGCTTGACTTCCTGGCACGCACAAAAGCGCAAGACACGTAAACAGGTCAAGGATATTTATATATGAATATACAAAACGCAAATCACAACAAAGCCAAACAGAACCGAAACCCAAGCCGATCTAAGCCCAACCAAATGGAACAGCATAAAGCCAACAGCAGCTGCACGTGCAGCTCTTTGATATCGTTACGGAACTGATTCGATTGAGCAAGACTTTCGGATAAACTGATGAACCACTGAGCTTCGCAGTTCAATGGACTGTGAACGGCATCGTTTAGTTGCCTGAACTAAATCAACAGATCTCATCAAATCAAACCAGCCAAAAAAATGAAAAAGTTAAGAACGTGAACAACTGAATCACTGGATCTCATCGAATTGAACCCATTGAATTCTCCATTCATCAGTCTTGAGAAAGTGAACAACTGAATCAATTGCTCTCATTATGGAGCTTGTTCTTCAAATTGAACTAGTTCCTCCTATACCTACTGTACCTACCTATACATACCGTAACTGGAAGTAGGCTTAGCCTTTACTACACTAGTTCAAAATTGAACAAACATACCAGTTCAATTGTAGTTCTATTGAACTATTTAGCTGTCACGCACATGGTGCGCAAACGGATATCAAAGAGTTCATGGCTGAACTGGTTCCACAAATTGGACTAGAATTGATAACGCTCAAAGGTTCATCAGCTTTAAAGCAGTCGCTGTGTGTGTGTATGTGTGGCTCTATGTGTGTCTGTGTGTGTGCGCGCGAGACAAAAGTCGCAAAAATGAACGCGTAATTGTTTGCACATGAATACATTGGGTAAATATGTATTTACCACACGCTACTGTTGCCGTCGCCAACGTCGCTGGTGCAGCCGCTGTCGCTGTCGCTGTCGCTGCCGACGCTGCCGTCGCCATTGACATCGCCTGTTGCCGCATGCAACGCGCATTCATTTGCATGCAAAGACTAGATGAGGGAGCGTCTGGATTGCTCTGGATTGCAGCTCGTTGCCAAGTCAAAGGCGTTTTAATCTGCTTACCTTGGCAGCATTCTTTCCATCTCTGCTTCGCCTTCGTATCTGGCTCTTCTTTTGCTTCTTCCTTTTGTTGCTTTGCTGCGAAATTCATTTGCATGATTGCGAACGACGAATCGGAGGCTTGCTTGGGGAACGGGTGAGGGGAGGACTCGTTGACTCCGTTGAGCTGCTGAGTTAGCGCTGCAGCAGCTTTGCTTTAATTACGAGCCTCGCTTGACTTTGAGCACATAAACAAATTGAAACTTGTTTATGGCATGCAAATTAATCAAATCTCATTCTCAATTAAGTCACCCACACCGAGCATCGAGATAACGCTAGCCGGAAATTTCCATCTTGGAAATGCAGCAACTGCCGTCAGGCCTTGAGCACAATTTAGATGGGCAGCAGGAAGCAGCACGCAGGAGGCTGCAGGCAGGCATTTGTCCCAAGACAATAATTATTATAATTAAACACAAAATGCACACGCAAATCTTTTCGCAATCACACTCACAGTTTTTGTGCCCTATGTCAAGGGTATTATCAACAATAGTTAACAAAATGTCAGCTTCAGCTTAATTTGTTACACTTGTACTTATTTTATTGCTATCTTTTGATTCTTTAACTCGACAATGGAAAGTGCTTTGGTATTGCATTCCAATTTATGTTGAGCTCGGTTTCATTTATTGAAAATTCGAATTGAGGGCATGTGGATTTTGTTGAAGCCCATGTAACAAAGAGACAAATACTTATTCTTTAAGTACTTATACATTTATATGTATGTATATATGTCACTAGGAGTAGAAGACAC